CAGGAAGAGAAGCCCCTACAACCATATTCTATCTATGGGGTTTGGAACTGCCGGTTTTGAGGAGTGAATTGTTTTTTGAAAATTCGTCCATTCTATCTACTCCAGGATGATTATATATACACACGATATGATATGTTACTTCTATCCACACTTGGACCAACCTTTGCTCAACATGACAGATGCAGATCATTCCAACCAACATGATATCATTGTTCCGGTTTATTGTCAACCACTTATTGTTTAGCTTCGATATGGTATCTCACGTCCATGCCCTCCTTTACTTGTCTTACTTCCTCATGTCAAGTTCTTTCTAGGCCTCCATGGGCTTCCAGCGCTGTGTTTGATCTCCTGTCACTAATGCGGTCGATGCCCTGTCATCCGAAACGGAGGGGTTGATCGATGAAAATTGCTCCGTAATTCAGATTTAAAGCACGATGGCAGGTGGTCTAGGCGGTCGCTGCTGCAATTTTGACACGTTCATTGAAACCTTCCATAGGCTGTAGATGGCTGTGGGCTGTCATAAACACTTGGTTTTCAGCAGTTTATCATTGGTGCTAGTTGATGGTTACAGATATACACTATGTTCCTGTTCATGACGTGTGAAGAGCTGATATATCAGCATCAGTAAATGTGTCATTGATCCACTCTAAGTCAGCTCACAGTCAAGATGAAATTCATAATGTGGACCTGTTTTGTGTGGGAGACCGTGACACCTACCAAGTAGGCTTCAATTTGCATCGAACAAATTGCTTCAGGAGTCTCGCGTTTAAAAGAAACTCTGCTGGTGCCTGTGCATATAAACCGTCGATAATTTAATCTGGAGTTTGTTGGATGCAAGCGACGGGTAGAGGCCGTTGCACATTGTGTACGGAATGATTACTGTATTATATAGATTGTAACATGTATAGGATGAATTCGATCTGGCCAGAAATTTCCACACTACAAATACAACCTTGATTCTACGCATACCAATAATGTCATCATCTCCATTTACTCGTACCAAATGCAAATGTCAAAGTTATTCTTGCTCACGCTATCAAAAGTGCTTGGAAGCCATGATGCAAGTCCAAGCAAGAAGAGGGAGTAACCCTTCCAAGTCTTGTATATGCACCCTGAGCATGTTGGACAAACTGCAAGTGTAGGGTATTCTCTGAATGCTATATAAGCAGTCTGGAGATTCGTCCTTTCACCTCAGAGCGTCCCTGACAAGGCAGCATGTAGTAGCATGTTTGTACTTGAAACTCTCAAAACCTGCGCAGGTTGTGGTCCTCTCTTTGTGGCACCACGCGACTTGGTGGGCTGGGAGTCCACAGACTGCGAAACTTCCCTCTTTGCCAAGTGACGCTGACAAGGAGCAACAAGGAGCAAGGAGAGTTCTTGTGCAGAACTACGTGTTGTGTTGTGCATAGTCTATATAGTTTTGGTCAGAAAAAGTTCGAGTTCTCTATATAGTCAAACAAGCAGTGCCCTTCAAGCTTCTTGGAGCATTGTAGAAGGCGACACAGGAAGCCTCAAGGAAGCCTATGACTGTCCAGTGGGTATTGTAGGTTGTAGATGACAAAGTTCTATAGCTTTGCACGGTCTTGCCTTAGCCTCGCAAAGAGGACCTTACCTTTCTTTTATTTTTGTTCTTCCTTTAGGACCTTTGGGACTTGACAGCTTTTTTGATTTGAATTGTCCATATTTCCTCTTTATTATCTGTGTCGTTTTATTGTTCTACAGAATTTCAAGTCGTTTTTGCTTAAATATACTGTAATTGAATTGAGAATTGCTAGTCGGTTGGAGGTTATCGCTATTTCATATTAAGCAATCAATTGACATTTCTATTTGGAAATCAATGAGCTTCGATCCTCCAAGGCCAAGCAGTTCACCACGAGGCTGATTGACTGACCATGGATTGGATATCTATGTCATGCTAATGATGGAGTGTACTGTATGTATTTTATGTGTTATTACATTACTACAGTATCTAATGTATGGATTCTTGTGTGCATGAATTCAATTCACTTCCTGGTGAGCCTGAGACCGAAATAGACTATAATAGACTCGGCTTGTTTGCTGTCTACTGAATTGCAAGAAGAATCTAATGTTGATTCATCGGTCTTGTTCCTAGTAGCTATTTGCTCCTAGTAGTAATGCCCTTGTTACTAGTAATAGCGATGCCCTTGTTCCTAGTAGCTATTTGCTCCTAGTAGTGGGTGTGAACTGTCTTGGGGCACTTCCGAGGGCACTTGGGCTTGTTAGCCCAATTGTAGTGCCAGGTCCAGCGCGATGACGTGCGCGAGGTCCCTCCTGCATGGGAGCAAGGGATAGTTGGGTCAAGTTGGGTCGTGGAGTTCATTTGAGCCATGCTCCAACTTAACAAATGAACTCCCGTAAGCTAAGGACATGTTGAGGTATGCAGGATTTTCTAGTATAGCTGGCAGGGATTGCGCACGTGAAGTCCCGCTCCCAAGGAGCTCCCCGAAGAAGTGACAAGTGCGGAACACGACAGTTGTTGGCAGGTGAGTTTTGGATGGCCTGTGCGCAAAAAGGTAAATCCCTGGGCAAGGAAACCTATTTACTCGGATCGCTTCTTTAATACGTTGCCACCAAGGGTCAAGCATCAACAGTTCTTTTCCACTTTTGTGAATAGGTTCCGTATATAGATCTTCGTAGTCTTGTTGGCCCTTCTCCGAGTTGAGAATGCCCTTTGGGTTGGCTACTGTATGTCTTTCCAGGCCAGCCAGTCGAACTGGCTTTGAAACTTACCGTTCCGTGCTGCAGGCTGGCCGACGCAGCTTGTTGGGCGCGTTCATGCTGGCTGGCAGCGAGCCAGCTTGGGCTTGGTACCTGGTGATAAGCCATATTCTGGGCTGCCCTCGTCAGAAGAAGTTGCCTCCACTCCGACATGACTACACATCGACATGTTTCAGCCAGATGATAATTATATACTGTAAATGTTTCACGACTTCAACTGGAGCGTTAGCACCATCAAGCATTTTCAATCTTGTCTTCTCTCCAGCACCATCTCTGACCATTTTAGGCGCAAGCAGCGGCAGTGATGCCAGGACAGACCCTCTCAGGGCCGCAGGCAGGGGCGACGAACGCCAAAATGAAGCAGCTTACACTGGGGTGCCGAAAGTTGCGCTTCTTGACTTCAAAAACGGGACAAACCCTTTCCCCTTAGAATCCTACGTGCAACATGTCGACACCTAAGTTGCGGTCAGATTTCCACACCTGAAAGCCTTATAAGTATTATAGATTTTTTTATTCGGGTGTGGAAATCTGACCGTGCTGTACCTGCCAGGCAAAATGGACGTGTCAATCCGATCCGCTGTAGACCGCTGTAGGCCGCAAGTGTCAAGTTGGAACAGAGTAAGAAGCGTAAACTTTAGCGTTCTTGAAGTATTGATTCATTCTTGAACACGATTTAGTTCCCCACGCAATTTCCAGGGCTACTAGCTCTTGGCAATACTGCTAGTAGCAAGAATGTTACTAGTAACAAGGGCATTACTACTAGTAGCAAGAAGCTACTAGGGGCTCTTGGCCTTACTACTAGGAGCAAGAACGCTACTAGGGGCTCCTGGCATCGCTACTAGTAACAAGGGCATTACTACTAGTATGCAGTTGGGATTTCCGTTTGAATCCACAGTGAGCAGGTGGATGTCCCAGATCGCATCAACGCTGACCCCTACGAGCCGGCTGACTGTATCTGAAGACTTGGGGTCAGTGGACACACCCCTAATATATGTTCATGTTAAGTAAAGTACTGTATATCTGCGGCTACACACTTGACGCTGAAGAGAGAGATTCAACAACCACAGTTTCTCTCCAGCAGTTTCAGGCATATTCTGGCCTCTTGTCAATCGGACAACCATGTGTTAATATTCTTTACATTTATTTTGGCACTTGCTTCGGATGTTTGCCGCGAGTTCAAGACTTCAAGTTGAATTTTGCTGCATGGCAGAGCAATTGAGAGTGTACAAAACTTGTTGTACTCGTGTGGAATGATCATGCGAGTCTAACCAATGCTAACCTCTTGGGCATTGCTTTTGTAATGCATGTTCTATCGATTCCAGGTCTGAAGAAGCACTGTCTATGTGCTCCAAAACGGTTTAACATCTAGCTAAACAAGGATGCCCCCCGCGCACGCGAGTTATACAAGTGTTTGCATGTCATTTCTGTCAGACATATGCCGAATGATCACCTTTCTCATGCAGACTCTGTTTCTGCAGCCCATGAGAGTCCATCGTAGAACACGCGCAGTTACTGTTCAGGGGTAGACATCCGGAGTCGTTCGCTGCAAAATGGTAGCAGAACCAACACCGATTGAACTGCAGTGGACGATGGTCCATACATGTGACAGCCATGGACAGTAGGATATGTAACCGGGCCTACGTTGCTGTGCACATTGCACATGCTTCAGCAATCCTGTAAAAAGTTGGCCAGGCAAACAAAGACACGGCCCAAACGTGGTGAAGAAAAGGACATATTGCATTGTTCTATTCTTAAATCTGAAATGCAACCTTACAAGTTGATGCTCCCCATATACAGTATCGATCAAGACCGTTCAAGCACCAACGCGTTGTGAGGGGCACAGTAATAGGCCCTAAAGGGCTTGATTTGTAGGCTCCAGGGATAGAGCCAGACCAGGGCCAAGTATCAACAAGCCCCACCCTGGGAGAAGCAACAAAAGTTATTGATGTCATAGGACATCACAGGATCATAAAATTCAGCAACCATCAAGCATATGAAGCTTGGAATTTGATGCCCAAGTATATAGATAATATAGATAAACAGGAGCCAGAGATCATCACATAGGTAGAAAGCGCGCAGGTAATTGAATTTGGCCGCTCAGCCTCTCAGTATGAACGAAACAAGGAATAGCTTTACCCAGTTCAAAGAGGCAGTTCCTGGCTCCTCGTTTTCAGTGTATATGTCGAGTCCTTGCCTCATTTGGATCGAGATAACATCCGAGACGTAACCTACAGCTGGGTGAACAACCCAGGCTGATTGGTATGGAGAATCCGGATGACAAGAAGGAGGACTTTGCTCTTTTTTAATGATACGGCGACCACCGAGATCTACACCAACACTAGTCGCTTTAACTTGTTTTCCTTGTGCATCACCTTGGTTCCCCACCATGAGCCAAGCACACCAGGACTACAAGACCTTCTACATGAAGCAGAAGTATCGACAGGACACCTACCAGGTGCATCCAGCAGGGACACCTGCCTTTTCAGCATGGGTTTCTCCGTGAACAATGCACAGGGTGTTACCGGTGTTACCAAACTTCTGTACCTTGCTAAGCATTTGGAAGTTTGGAAGATTGTTGCTTGACTGCTTGACAACTTTGTGTGCAAACATGACTCAACCTTTCTATGGCATGATTTTGGTGAGTTGCTTGAGGCCTTACTCCGGCTCGGTGCTTGTTTGACAATTTGGTATCCCTTTCGAGCCGACAGCAACATGAGAAGATGAACACCTCTTTTGTTAACTTTCGCCACTCGTGCCTCGCATGACAGGTAATGAAGCACATGAAGATTTCTGCCTCCTTAGATAAAGGAACTCCAAATATGGAGAGGTGGCCGGGCACTTAGTGACTTAGTGCATTCGAGGCTAGTTTGGTTTCTGCCTTTGGCAGTTCCTCATTGAACTTGAGTTGTTTGGTGACGAACCTGTAAAATATTTTGCAGAATAGTTTGCAAGGTGTTGCTGATAGTCCTAGGAATAAAGGTGTGTAAACCATATGTAACCACACCAACCTTGGAGCATTTGCTGATTCTTTACCTTGACACCCGACCTGCTTGACTGAACGTTGTAGAGCACAAACTGGGCTCTCAGTCCTCAACAAACATGCAACATCCTGGAACAATAGCTTGCGGTTCAACAATGCAAGAAGTGACGGAGGTTCTGACAGGTGTGTGCATTCCAGCAAGAAATTCTTATTGTAAGGAATCATGATTCATGATTGCCAATTTCACGTATCTTCTGCCAGTTCATTGCGGGGTAGGGTAGGGTTGATTATTTAAATTAGTCAGACAATTCGTCACACTATGGTAATTATATAATTTGATTAGGCAATCAGGATTAATCAGGTATGTTGATCTCAGGCCTTTGCAGTATACCAATGATTAAGGATTGCATCATTGTTTTCTGGCAAGCAAAAGTTATCAGCGTGTTGCAATATCTGAGCCTCAAACTGCAGGAACACCCGGATCAAGAAGGAGATGAACGACTGGCTGGCCATCTACCGACGGCAGAACGTTTCAGTGGGTAGGCAGGCCTTTTGTGTGCTGGCTGTGCTACTTTTCTATGATTCACAAATTCACAGATATGGCACCAAATGAGCTTTTGAGGCATGTTGCCATGTAGCCTTGCATGTGCAACTGCATGTTTTTTTGATTGTGTTTGCAACAATGTGCTTTGGACTTGGTCGGCAGGCAGAGCTACTACTCGCTCTACTCAGCCATCAATACGCTTGTCGGGCCCTTGAGATGCAGGAGTCCTGCGCAAGTTTAAGGCTCACTGCCACTGTTGCTCTAATGGGCAACATGTTGTAGAATGGATGGCTGTTTGGGCGATGAGAGCCATTGCATTCAATCCTAGTCCTGGTAGAATACAGATTCATGCAAGTTTTGATTTGGGGATGCAAGCTGCACGTGCTATATTTTGTCAGGTTAATTTGTTTTGCCCTCCTACTAAGACACTTTTTGCACTTCCTCGCAGGTGTACAAGAAAGCCTTTCATTCCGAAAGGTTCACTTCGACGGTTGCTGACTCATGCATACGTTGGGTATATAGAGAAGAGCTGCAACGTGACTGAGGCATCTCACTTCACTTCCTATGGACCCAAGTTCCCGCCAGGATCTCATCCTGCTTTTCGGGGTTGTTTTTGTGACCGTTTGTGGTGAAATTTGTTCGCAGTCCAGTGTAGATCGCTGGCAGGTCCCTTAGCATTCCCTTTTTCCCATTAAGTTCAAGTACATGTCATGTATATATGTATTGTATTGTATTTGTGTATTATATAGACATTTGCAAGTGTGTCTTGCCATGCACTAGAGACAAAGCTGAGCACATACAGTAGGGATTGGGAACTAGTTGATCGTCCGGCCCTGCTTGCGTGCTTTCAGCACTTTTAAGCTCAAAGCCTGCATCCAGTGCTTTTTCACTTCCAGCTTTATGTAGATGCAGCCACAATGGAGAGTGTTGCAGAGTGTTGCGTTTGTTGCCTTTGAGGTTCCCCAACAAGCGGCGTCCGCGCTTCTTTGAGTTGTGCCAGCAGGTGGAGAAGTGCGCCGGAAGTAGAGCTGACCTCCAATCCTCAGCGCAACATGGATGCCCTTGTCATTTGTAGCGTCCTTGCTCCTAGTAGCGATGCCCTTTGTTCCTAGTAGCTTCTTGCTCCTAGTTGTCATTTATATATTAAGCAGTGAAGCGTTGATCTTTGGTGTACGGCCACTGTGTGTGTGTGCCTTTGGCATATTTACTCCAACAGATGTCCTATCCTGAACTTACTATGCATATCCTTCCCGGCAGATTGCTCTACATACAACCATGGGTTGTCCTACGGTGTCATTGAGTTGCTAACATCCAGCTTTCGAGCAATGCAGTATCAGTAGCCGGTAGCCGTTCAGCTCAAGCTACATACATACCAGATCCGATATCGAAACCCCTTCGTGATGCTTGGCAGAGAGTTCCAAACCTGGACTAGAAATTCTTGCCTAGGGCACAGAGCTTCTAAGATATTTGGCGGCTGCCAAAACGACAGTCAACGGTCAGGGACCTCTAATGTCGACCAAGGCGTTAATTTATTGCAGTAAGTGAGTTGTTACAAAAGGCTGCATTTGGGCTTCTTCAACCATCCAACTTTGGGTGCGCCTTTCTCCAAGCAGGTCTAAGTTAAGTACCATTGATTTGTTGATGAGTTGATGATTATCATATAATATCATGTTTGTTCTTGTTGATTTGCTTTGCGAAATTTGAGAACTTCTGAGGAGATGGCGATGCTGGTGATTGGAGCCAATACCTCCGGCTCTCAGGCGGAGATGAGCATTTTTTATTCACATTGTTTCGGATCACGACATGTTGCAGCGGCGACCTGGGCTGCAGACAACTGCATTGTTGAAAGCTAGAGCACCTATCACAGCTATCCCTCGCAGAGCTTTGCTCGTGTTGCTAGCCCTATATAGCACAGATTGCTATTTGCATTCCTAAAGAGAGACTGGCCCTTTCTCCATACATTTGTTTTAAACTTTAAATATATATGTAACCATATTAACCCCAGGTACTCACACTTATGTTGTATATTTTGTATGCATAATTACTAATACACATATGATTAACACATGTGTTTTGGTTGTTTCCTTGAATCACATTGAAGCAGACGCGAGTATGTTGATAGAGATCATGATAGTAAATAGGTTTGTAAAGCTTGCACATTTTTTTTGTCAACATTTCTGAAAACCGACAGAGGCTTGCGCATTGCCAGGACTTCGTGGTTTCCATGGCCCTTGTTGCCGTGGCATTGGGAATATGGCTTTTGGAGCGCGCAGGTGCGGGTACAAGTTAATCTCAAACTTGCGATTTCCCCCCTTGATGAATGGCCCAGGTTGCATGTCGATCGGTTCCGTTGCTTATTGCAAAACAGTAGGCACTTGTGCAGAGCTTCAGCGAGCTGAATGCCAGGATACGCTCAGTTGATCTCATGCGTCAGAGTCTTGAAGCGGTTGGCACCGGAGAATCTTGCCTCAAAGGGAAGATTTGCTTTGATTGATCCAAACACCATATCATCCACACATCATCAGCAACTTTGTTGCATAAACATTTTTCAAGCCAAAGCCTTAAAGCAGTATGGTTGATTTAGAGTGTGTGGTGTAATTATATGTACAGTGTATATATACACATACACTGTACATATAAGTTCTTGGCTGTACACACACAAGCATGACACAAACCTTGCCATATGAGACAAAGGCAAACATCAAAACGACTATCCAACTTTATTGACATTTACCATGGGGAATGGTCACTACTTTTAGAGTAGTTGAAAGTTGTGAAAGGACTTGGCTTTTCTTGTGGTTGGGCTTTCCGTCAAATAAAAGGTCTAGCGGCTAATGGCTAGGCTGACAGAGCTTGTTCTTGGCCTTTGGATGCGAGTGTGCCTTTGGGTTGTTTCTGCTATTGCAATCAGACCGCCCATTGCTTGTGTGGCCCAATTGCTTCTTAAAGGCTGTTGGCGCTGTCCTTCGGCCTCTCGTTGGCATCTGCTTTGGTTTACTGTGGACAGCACAATGGTGGCGCTGAGATCCCCAAGGAGGAGGGGCTGGGGTGATCGGCTCCAGCGAGTTCACAAGGTAGATCAGTTGGACGGCGTAATCTGGAAGAGAGAAGCATGTGGATACAGCCTGCACTATTTTTACAAGTGTTTCTTAGCGATCACATTCCAGTTTGCTAGATGTTAAACAGGCTGCAATGCATTGTTTGGCAATAGGCGTGCTGGACACAGTCATATCCAACAGTAACAGTCAATGCAGGATCAGGCTTTGTGGAGTGACATTAATGCAGAGAAGCTTGGCGGAGAGTAGACTAGACTACAGTAAGCACTGAGCACCTGTGTTGGATGTTTGTTTTTTGTTTTTGTTCCTTGTTCGTTTGTTCGATTGTTTGTTTGTTTGTTTGTGCGATTTATCTTTGCCGCAATCAACCTTTAAGTAGTAGGCTCTGGAAAGGCAAGTTTTGACATGGTAAGATCGATTGCTTGCCATTTGCCAGAACCCAGGTGGCCGGTGCTCAAAACAGCAGATAGCCTGCTTGGAATTCAGGCATGAAAGGGTTTTGCTCTTGCAGCACTTTGGAACGTTTGACTTTGAACAATGCTATTGGCAAGGGGCCTAGGAGGCTGTGAGTTGGTATGTAGCTGATAAGAGAAGCCACTGTACAGAACCATATATAATGAGTTGCGTGGCATGATTCCAGAGTCTGCGCGTAACCTATCTATCTATGAATGAAATTGCATTTGGCGGTTATAGGAAACAATATTTGGGCAGGGGCCGTTTTGCCTAAGTGATACTGACCAATGACACTTCTACAGTCTACATGGCAGGGCAACTTGAGAACAGATAAGAAAAGGCTGCATTCATGCTGCGATTGACACTCCGACCTGGATGTTTAGCTAAGCCCTCCGGCATCTTCCCTAGTGCTCGTCCAATACAGCCCTTGTGCCCCTGGGCCGTGAAACCTGGTGCGGTTTGCAATATCCGATCCGTGATCAACAACAACCTCACAGGAATATTGTGATCGTCAGAGAACTGCCCCTGAGCTTTAGTTGGTGGAAGCCAACATGCTGAGACAACTTTAATGGATTTGACACAAGAGGCAGCAGGGCGTACTGGGATTGTACAAGGTACTTGCGAGGAAAGCTGCCTCACGGCCAAGGATAGACGGAAGTTTCACAAAAAGATTAGCGTATATAAGAAAAGAGGAAAACACATGGTTTATAAGGGCCCTTACCTTCTTTCGTTTGTGTGGTGAAGTGGTGCGGTGTGGCGATGTGATTTGTAAAGATTTCTGCGATGCGAAAGCCCCTCCAAAAAACACCGATTTGAACCTAGAGTCACGCAGCTCAATGACATAGCGCCGGCAGAGATATATAGAGACAACCTGACACAGCCATTGCAATTGCTTTTGCAACAGTTATCAAGGTGTTTTGAACCTGTTGCATTCCTGAATGTAATGGCACTGGAAACCAGCAATCAGCACGCCATGAGGACCCAAGCCAATACTGCCACAAGCGCCTTCACTCGCCGTGCTTAGCAGACCTTAGCAGAATTTGTTGCTTGTTCCATGTTTTCCTTTTCGCGCGCGCTCACTTGATTCTCAACATATATATATATATGTGGCATTGAAGCTTTCTTTGATGATTCGTTTTGAGTCCTGCGGTCTGATCATGTTCATGTTGTTGACGAGCAGGCCATGCTGCGCTTGGTACTTTTGAGCTCAGCCTTGCTTCGGAAGGGAGACGACGAGGCGTTCACACTGTCACTGACTGTCACTGTGACCCGTCGAAAGACCGAGACAAATTCAACAGGGTGTCCAATGTCCGGGCTGGTACCTATTTGGGATAATCCTGCCGATAAATTTTGCCTAGCTGACTGGCTGAGGTGGGACCAAGACATCACTTCAATTTACTGTACGTGCCAATTATAGGTGTCTTATGGTTTCTTGCAGAGAGAAACTGGCCAATCCCCACTCATCCTGGAATTCATAATACAACTTAACATTCGGCGTGGCTTGACTTGTTACTTTGCCACAGATCCCTCGGATGAATCGTTACCATTGTTTTTACACTCACCACGTGTACAAATTCTGCTCATGCTGTTTACAAATTCTTTTTGTCAACTTCGATTCGTCTGGGATTTCGTCCGTCTTCTGACAGGCCACCTCTGCCATGGCTATGGAGCCCATGGGCTTTCTCTTCCTTGCATCTTGCACCCGAGCCTCGGCGTTGAAAGCGTTTCGACTCAAGCAAGTCTAAAGTTAATTTGTTTCGTTTTTTGGGGGGTAGGCCAGAGGAAGTACTAGGCCGGCCTTTGAAGCAAGCCAAGTCGATAAAATTAACCTTCGACCAAGTCACAGAACCACCAGAAGATTCCCTGCATTCAGAATTCCAGCACTCGGTATAAGTCGTACAGTATCGACGAATCGACTCGCGGAAGTCGTATACGGGGTGCCTCCTTGTTTGTGTGTGTGTGACTCTTGGAATCAAAGGGAGTCTTTTGACGTTTTGGCAGGGAGGCAACACCATGGATGCAGTTGGTTGTCCAACGAAGAGGGCGGCATTCCATGGCTGATATGATCCTGGGACGCTGGGATCATGTCCCTGCAGTGATGACTTACAACTACCACTACAACTACCTACCTCTTGGACCCCGTTGCAACATGTGGTAACTATTGCAACTTGTAACTATATACTGTATAGATCTATATAGAGCACAGCCTTTGCGCCGGTTCTGAGTTCGGCAGTCAAGCATTTGGCAGTCACGCATCATTCTTGATTGGCATTTGGACCTTTTGGACCTCGTGGAGTCAAGCGGAACTTTGAGGCAATTGACATGTTGAAGCTTCTGAATGTAAGTGTCTTGAATTTGGAGGTGGCTGGACCCCACTGTACTATATCTCAAGTGTGTAAGAGTGAGTCGATTGTGGGATCATAATGTCATAATGACGACGTTCTCAGAATCCTTTCTAACTTTGTTGTGCGCTGCGTCTTAGATGCTTTTGGTGATCTGGGCTCAGCCCAGCAGTGACTGCTGCTGGTGCTGGTTTGCTGCTACTGCTACGGCTCTTGATGCTGCGAATTTCCTGCTGTTTTTTTGCTGACATGCTGTTGGTGCAGCTTCACAAAAACAGGTCTCGGCTAACCTGGGCACGTAACAATCTCGCCATGAACGTGGTTTCTTTCACCTTAGACTGATGTTCATGCAGCACTCAATGAATGGTGCTGTCCACTGGAATCTCCTAGCAGGATACAACGGTTTAGAAATTTATCTTTCATCACTGTGCCATTGGAATTGGGATAGGTTGGGTGCCACGTTGATTGAGTGTATCGTTGTACGCATTGCTTCGTTGACATTGATGATGATTATTGTTATTAACTATTATTATCAGTTTTATGATGATGATGATGATGATTTTGCTACTTTGCTGAAACACGCTGTGCCATTGCACATGATGTGACTTTTCCTTGCCTGATGCGACTTCAGCTCCATGTTTGTAGATCTCAACAGGATAAACACAAGACAAGGCATGGTAATGTGAGGTAAATCTTCAAAAGGTCCCTTACATGCATGCCAATTCGACTCAAGGTGCGATTTTGCTTCTTTGCAGCCCCTGGGAGGTGTACCACCTTGACTCTGGGCTGCACAGGGTGCAGAAATGGACCCGAATCCCTGCCCTTTCGTTTTTGTTAAGTCATTGGGTTTGACCATGACTCAGACAGACTTGAGAGGATTGGCTGCATACACTGTATGTTTGTTGCGTTGTTGTATATTGTTTTGCTTTATGGTGAAAGCATATTCGATTGAGTGTACTGCAGATATCGGCAGGTTGCTGATATCACCATATCAGTCAGACCCTTATGTTACAGAAGTGACGGACAAATCCAGTCAGACTCCAGCGAGCAAGGTTAAATGTTCAAACATGTCCGATGTTTCCTTCAAGAACCTGAGAATTCTGACGCAACAAGTGAAGGCTTCGCTCATAAACAATTTGCCCTAGCTTCGTAGAGAACTCTTTCTGACACAACTGCCCTACTTGCTTCTCCTTACCCTTTACGCCTGCAGGCATCTCCAGGCCCTTCGTATTCGTTTTGACGTTTTGCCCGGCATTTCATTTCTAAAGGACGGCCCTTTGGGTGGTGCCTTAAACTTGGCCTGTGAGATTTGTGCAGTGCCACTCACTGCTTGGCTTTGCAGGCACGGAAGAGAATGAACATGGCAAAAATGAATCAATCTGAGAACGCTGTGGTTTGGCAACATGATTCGTTGATTTTGGCATACTTTGCAATCTTGACCAAGAAGTCATGGCTACATTGCCAGGCCTTTGCGTCGTAATATTTATGGCGTAAGTTGCATCGCTATCATTTGGTTGGCCCTGGGCTTGCTGGCGTCACAGCAACATCTAGTTGCTTGGGTCAAGCTGCAAGCCGACAGTGATCAAAGTCAATGTCAGACCAGCTGTGCAGGTTCAGCTGTGAGAAGAAGTTGGATAAGTGCATGTGAACAAGTGGGTTTTTGACTAGTTGTTACTCCCACCGTTGTAAAGAGGTAAAGATAAGCACTACCAACAGCAACGTGTTTGCTGGGAGCATGTGGGATCATCGTCTCCACTCTAGATATGTATATATATATATGTGTAGTGTGTATCTGATTGTGTTTGCATGTATATATAATAACTATATATGTACATTTATCTATATTGAAGATTTATTTATCTACAGTACCGGGGCTGACTCCCCGGAGCAAGGCTTTGGCAGATCCTGGCCAAGAGTATTTGGATGTGCTCTTTTCTTGGAGCAAATTGGCACATTGAGATTGGTGGGCAGTATATATAGAGAAGCAGCAAAAGAGTCATAAAGGAGAACATGTGTATGCCATGAGCAAGTAATATCCTCAAACCAGTTACTTCAGAATTTTCTCAGAGAAGGGATTTGAAAGCGGAATGAAGCTTGTGTCAGTTCGCTGTTTCTCAGTTCAATGACCTGAACCAGTCAGAAAAAAAATATCAGCAACTGAGCTTTTCAGCAAGCCTGCGTTTCTGTTTGATTCTGAATCTTGAGGTCAATTCCTTGACTTTGCTGCTGCATTGGCATTCCTCATTCGCACATGTACCTTGTGGACTTCTGCCCGTGGTGAATTTATGGTTGGCTTCTCAAAGAGGGTAAAAAGAAGGGGATATTTGCAAGTGATCAGCAGGGCAGCTCGACCAGTAGAGTGCATCAAACTGCTCTCCAAGACGAGACTTGAGATTTCCATTGCAACTGTTTGTATCTATTTGAGAACCAGATCACAACGTGCACGCAGTGGCCGTGAGATGAATTCTGACCGATGCACCTTTGGCTACTGCGTGCGACATCAGCACCCATTAGCATAATATGAAGCAAATCCTACTTGCTGGCTTGCACCCACTTGCACACCTCTAACAAGGTCTACAGCTTGATGGCTTTGCTATTCCAACAGCTTTTGAGCAACCTGGCTCAATGACACTCAAGTGGGTTTACGATCGACCATTGCTTGGTTACAGTGTTCTACTTGTTTCATTTGATTTCAAGTAAGTAGAATACTTATTTTCCCGTCATTGCTTGAACAGTTGGTGTTAAGGTGCTGTCTTCATGTTTAGCTCGTGGGGCCAAGCACCATTCCACGAGGCATCGGACAGCTTTAAGAGCACGTGCATTGCTTTGACTTGTTTGGAGTTCTGCCTGACACTTTTATCTTGAACCAGCAAAAAAACAAATATATATATATATATAAGAATTAACTTACTCAATCTGGGGTTGACAACCAATTCCAATACTTATTCGTAACTGTTGATGAGACAAGTGAATTTGTTGCAAAGGTGCCTGGAATCGTTGGCAAAGGTTCGCCATTGGCCGCTTAACTTTGCAGACAGGTTTGTGATTTGTGCCTCTTTGTGGTGGGCAGAAGTGCTGGCTAAAGCAATCCGTTGAGTAGGGAACGGGATGGACAGCAGGTCCTTCACAAGTGCGCCTCCAAACCAAGGCGGTGATGCAGATGTCATGCCTTTTGGAGGCTTGGGTATCGGGCATCAGAATTGAGTTCGGTTAGAGCACCCACAGTCAGCAGGTGGCGTGCTACGTTGTGTCTGCTGTGATCTTCACAGTCTCCACAGTTTTCCACAAGGACCAACTTTTCATGCTCTCAGTGAAACACAGATCGTGTGTTGGGTTGGGGAAAGCAAGAAGCGTCCTGGAAGACTCCTTTCCTGTAAGATGCGATTCCTTAGGTATGTTACTCGAGGTCTTATCAATATATATATATATATATACATTAACAATGGGACAGTATTCCTGACATGGGACAAGATGTGTCAGGCTTCTTTGCCATCATTCTGAAATTTTGATGCTGCTCTAGACTCTGTCATCATCGCAGATGTTCTTCGCAGGAAGAGTTGGTCTATGCCCCTCTTTTTGCAGAGCTGTAACCGCCATCGGCGTGGACCGCTCCATGAACCTGCAGACAAAAAGCCTCCAGTGGATAATGTTTTGTGATGTTACTGAGTTACTGCCTGTTAGTTTTGTAAAGTTACCCTATACATCCATACACACTGTTTACAATTCTTGGACTGTCGACGCGAAAGCAAGAAAACCAGGATATCGTCCAAAGGTGGTGACTACAGATGTTGGCGCATTGAACGTTTATACAATTTGGGCACTTCTTTTCAGAACCCTAGAAGCCAAACAGTGAGGACAATCATACAGTGCAACCTCAAGACTGATGTTATTGGTCCCAACCTAAGTAGAATTGAACCATTCCAACGAGATCAAGTGCAAAGGTGTTTGGGGTAAGATCCTTCCACCTTCGCAGGTACCTCGAAAAGGGCAAGTAGAGGACCTTGGATATGATGCCTGACGCCAGTTCATGATCCCACTTCCAGTCAAGCTTGATCCGCTTGCTGTGGTAGATTGATAAGCATCCTACATCCCGGAAGTACAGTATATAGATATTTGTACATGGCATGTACCGAATCATGGGGACTCTCATTGCCGACGACTATGTATCATTGACAATCCTCAGGTCCCCAGGCTGTTGACTCTTGGGTTCAGAATTAGGCAAAACGGCAAAGCCTTTCATGAATAGACAACGGTGGCCTCTAATCGGTTGTCACATTTGACATCGGATTTTCTGAACAGAATGCTCCTACAGATTTCAACACCAAAGTATAAGTATAAGACGTGAAGACCTGACCAAAGTTAACGACTCAAAATCACATTGAATGGAGTACTTGCACTTGTAGATGTGGAAAGTAGGGAGTCTGAGTTAAAGAAGACCAACGAGCTTGAAGGGGATGATTTGATTGTTTGCGAGAGATTGCCTGTCGTGGCATCCAAGCAGACGGAGCAGGGGCTAGCATGAGATATGACAATTACTTACTGACTACATAATATGACCAGTCAATGACATATGTTGCAAACATTGCAAGTTGCTCATACTTTCCAAAACTAGGAACAGCTCACAGCAAGGGGTCTATGTGGTAGCTTGCTGAAGCCTACCCCATCCCCCAAGATGTGTTGCAGACTCTTTTCCTGAATATCTAACAGCAAATGACGCTTGATTTCACAGAGCTGCAAGGATGTGCAAAGCATTTTGAGTGGGCATTGAGCTCTCCGACTGTGGATCCCACATAGTATTCTTTCAATCTAGAAGGGACAAGTTTCATTTTCGATCCACCCAGTTTTCAGTGCATATTTTCGTATGCAGTATGAAAAAGCCGCGCAAGGCGCAAGTGATTGTTAGACAGCGTTTGACATCAGGTGGGGATGCATTGTTTTCCTCCACTGGTGCCATACTGGAATACATCAAGCCAGCCTGCTTGTGCTAGGTGCTGAATCAATTCTGATATTCTTGGAGATACTTTCATATGTCAAAGTCAAAACGCTAAGCCGCTGAAGGGAAGTCAGACTTCCCATTATTTTTGACTTGTTGCTTTCTGATTCTATGGTGACCCATGACTTTCACGATGACGATGCAAATGTCGAGTGACTAGTGCTCAACAGCATGTGACAGTGATCGCTTTGCAGCAGCAGCAAAGGAAAGAACCTGCCGCATTCCTGCTCCAGGTGTCACCGCAAAAGAACATCCCCAAAACAAACAAGAAGTGAATTCAAAGTGGCGCAAACTTGTTCCTTCAAGGTTCTTGAGCACCTACATTCACGGTTTGACGCGTCCATTCTACAAGCATGCACAAACCCAGCTAGCAAGAACTGACAATAGCAGCTCCAAGCTGAGAGGCTGAAGTGGAACGTCAGGAACCTTCAAATTGGTTCTGATGGAGAGGTTTCCAAATGAAAGCAAAGAACAGTAGAACTGTAGATGATATGCCAAATTGATTTCTAACATGGGCTATATGTAGAGAGATCCAGTTGATGAGCCATGCCTCATGTCCCCATATTTGCAGGCGTGGGTGTTGGATCTCTTGGCGAGCAGAAGGTTGCGGCCTTGCCGCAGAGTCCTTGCACAACGCAGAAAACCCACGAATTCTGAGGAATGCAAGGGTTTGGACAGAGTCCCACCAGAGTTATCCGCTCACAAGGGTTTGGACGTACTGGCAAGACTGGATTGGATCCTCAGGCCTGTTTCTATCCGTTCCTAGATGTTCCTAGCCAGAAAGTGCGATGACAACGGATGTGACAAACTTGTCACATTTTGCCTAAGCGCTTGCTGTTGCCTGCCAAGAGCAGGTGCCGAAAGCAGTTTCACCCCAGTGGTGGGGCAGCTCGAGGGCAGCTCAATCAAGGGTGCTGGGGGGAAGATGGATGATTGAGTACTTGGCTGGTTCAAAAGAATATCCCGTCACTGTACACACATCATCACACATCTACCGGAAGAGGCCCAAAATAAAGAAGGGCACCATAGCGATCAAGCAGGTAGCAGCACACAATGCAGTGCGATTTGTTCACAGGTTACTCCAAGTGTGTTCTTCCACTGAAGTTTCTTATACATTTGGCATTTGGAACCCTACTTTGCTTCCACATGTGTCCAAGTGCTTGTCGCTTGGTCATTCAAGATTCCCTGGGCACCAAGAACCGCAGCTCAAAACTGGCCACGATGGCAGTGAGTGGCCTCATTTGACCTCTAAGGGCTTCTACGACGTGAAATGCGATCCAGGCTTTCACTGCGTGTCAAAGGCGGGGGTTGGGAACTTCAGCGGAGCGTTTCCAGTCCTACTGTCGACCGTAGCGTCCAATCAACTCCGGTTGCGAATGCAGTTGCGTCTCAGACGGTGATATACCAGTACCAAGCATCAGTCCCGGGGAATGCCAATAATCGGTCCCATTCAGTCTTGTGTTTCCAACAATCATCACGGAACCTGCCCCAGCCAGAAATGCAACTACGTATACACAGTATCATAAGTGCAGCTGGTTTATTTCCACCATTTGGTATTGTTTAAAATCCAACCAAGCCGCGTTCACAGTTTAAAGACTCGCTATCCAATCTTTCTTCAGAATGGGAGGCCCTGGAAGCGCACTTTTCAGCCTTGTTGGAGACATTATTCACTTCAGGACACGCATGTGCACTGCCAAAGGCCTCAGCCAAGAGTTGGTGCGCACAAACTAGATTAGACCAAAAAAGACGAAAACACTATGCAGACTCTTATGTGTCAATGTATTTCAAAACTTATTCTCACTCAACAATCTCGAACTAGTTACCAGTTGCTCCTTTGTTTAATTACTGCTACCCTATTTTACTGGACTGGTGTGTCATTACACTATATACATCATAGAGTCATACATAAGGTACTGGTAGTGCAAATTGCTGTTGAATTTCAGTTACCTTTTGCTTATGCAGCTG